CACACACACACACACACACACACACACACACACACACACACACACACACACACACACACACACACACACACACACACTAGACTTTAACCCTGACAAATGCAAGGTTCTGAGGACAGGATTAGGTACAAGGAGACTTCAAATACAGTACAGAAGGAAGGGGAAGGCAAATTCTAACTTCTGAAAAGAGAAAGAGACTCAGGAGTGGACCTAACTGGATATCTAACACCAGAGGCCTACATCAACAGGATAACAAGAGATAACAGGATAACATATGCCATACTGGCCAATCTCCGGTTATCCTTCAGATACTTCGACAAAGATACCTTCCGAACGCTGTTTTTCTTCCTTGTGAGACCTGTTATTGAGTCTGCTGCCCCGGCATGGAACCCCCCGACCTGTTTTTCTTCCTTGTGAGACCTGTTATTGAGTCTGCTGCCCCGGCATGGAACCCCCCGACCTGTTTATCTTCCTTGTGAGACCTGTTATTGAGTCTGCTGCCCCGGCATGGAACCCCCGACCTGTTTATCTTCCTTGTGAGACCTGTTATTGAGTCTGCTGCCCCGGCATGGAACCCCCGACCTGTTTATCTTCCTTGTGAGACCTGTTATTGAGTCTGCTGCCCCGGCATGGAACCCCCGACCTGTTTATCTTCCTTGTGAGACCTGTTATTGAGTCTGCTGCCCCGGCATGGAACCCCCGACCTGTTTATCTTCCTTGTGAGACCTGTTATTGAGTCTGCTGCCCCGGCATGGAACCCCCGACCTAAAGAAACACAAAAGTAGAAAAAGTCCAAAATATGCACCAAGACTTTTTGTTGAGGTAAGGCGACTTAGCTAAAAAAAAAAGACTAACGGACCTCACTACACTGGAGGAAAGAAGGAATATGGGCAGACATGATAACGACGTAGAAGATACTAAGGGGGACTGACAAAGTAGATATAGAAGCAATGTTCAAATTCAAGAACAATAGAGAGGACATAATTGGAAACTGGAAACACAGATGTCACATGGATGTCAGAAAGAACTTTTTCAGTCTCAGAGTCGTAAATAAGTGGTAAGGACTTGACGAGGAAGTTATCAACAGACACGCTGGACTTGTGATCCTGTGGTCCTGGGTTCGATCCTAGGCGCCGGCAAGAAACATTGGGCAGAGTTTCTATCACCCTATGCCCCCTATTACCTAGCAGTAAAATAGGTACCTGGATGTTAGTCAGCTGTCACGGGCTGCTTCCTGGGGGTAGAGGCCTGGTCGAGGACCGGGCCGCGGGGACACTAAAAGCCCCGAAATCATCTCAAGATAACCTCAAGATATATCGAAGCCAATTCTACATACAGCTTTATATCTAAATATGATAAGTAGAACGAGTGAAAAAAAGTGAGTCGTGCATCACTGAACTAATGATCATGGAACGGCGGGGTTTAAGAGCTGAAGCTCGACCCAGCAAGCTCAACTAGGCGTGTACACACGAGGTAAGAACAGGCACATGTTGGCTGGGTTCCGGAATCCCCCCAACTTACTCATCTTCTTGGGGCACTAGGAAAAGTCAACGGAATGGTATTATTCCATTCAACGTTGAAGTCAGGAAAGTAATTGAAAATTCTTGACGTCACACAACGGTATAAAAGGCTGGTGTGTTTATCATAAGACTATCAGTACAAGTATAACCGTTGGACAGGGCCACACTGCCAGTATACACTGCAGGACAGGGCGACACTGCCAGTATACACTGCAGGACAGGGCCACACTGCCAGTATACACTGCAGGACAGGGCCACACTGCCAGTATACACTGCAGGACAGGGCGACACTGCCAGTATACACTGCAGGACAGGGCCACACTGCCAGTATACACTGCAGGACAGGGCCACACTGCCAGTATACACTGCAGGAAAGGGCCACACTGCCAGTATACACTGCAGGAAAGGGCCACACTGCCAGTATACACTGAAGGACAGCCCCCACACTGCTAGTGTACCCGTTTGACACCACTAAAACTGTGATCAAACTGGCCTAACGTGGATTAAATCTCATTACCATCAAAAGACCTGAAGTAAATCAAGAACAGAACGAGACAAATACTCATTTCCCCTACAGTCGACGCCCTCAGAGCAACGCCCTTCCCTCCAGGGCATCTACCCCGTGTTCAGCCACAGTCATGAGCCTTCAGCAGCAGATCCTGACGACCTGCCTCTTCCTGGCGGCGATATCTGCCATTATAAGTCAGGTCTCCGGCGGGAGGCGTCCCTTGTACCGGCCGTGTGGCGCCCTCTGTGAGGTGCGCGATCACTCCGGCCGTTGCAGGATGGTCTTCCGCTGCCAGTTCCTGAAGGCAGCGAGAGTAAGGCGATCGGCAGCACCAAACACGATTGGTGTTCCGGATCTGAGCTGCCCCCGGCCGTGTGAGGTCCGCGACGAGATGGGCAACTGTGTTATAAACAATGACTGCGCGAAGAAACCTTGAATATAGCGGTGAACAAATGGAAGTTTATTCGCAAGACATCGAACGGCAGTAGAATAGTGCCTCTCACTGGCGAGGATGGTGCCTCTCACTGGCCAGGATGGTGCCTCTCACTGGCGAGGATAGTGCCTGCCACTGCCCAGCAAGGTGCCTGCCACTGCCCAGCAAGGTGCCTGCCACTGCCCAGCAAGGTGCCTGCCACTGCCCAGCAAGGTGCCTGCCACTGCCCAGCAAGGTGCCTGCCACTGCCCAGCAAGGTGCCTGCCACTGCCCAGCAAGGTGCCTGCCACTACCCAGCAAGGTGCCTGCCACTCCCCAGCAAGGTGCCTGCCACTCCCCAGCAAGGTGCCTCTCACTGCCCAGGATAGTGCCTCTCACTGCCCAGCAAGGTGCCTGCCACTGCCCAGGATAGTGCCTCTCACTGCCCAGCAAGGTGCCTGCCACTGCCCAGGATAGTGCCTCTCACTCCCCAGCAAGGTGCCTGCCACTGCCCAGGATAGTGCCTCTCACTCCCCAGCAAGGTGCCTCTCACTGCCCAGGATAGTGCCTGCCACTGCCCAGGATGGTGCACCACATATTCAACCCCTAAAAGTTGCAATTGAAAGCCCATGTGACAGACACTGCAGGACGCCAACAAAACTGGGGGACAGGAGCTAAGACAACAACAATTGAGTCGATTGTTAACACAAAAGTCAATAAAAGCCTAACTACAAAAATATATATTAACCTTGTTCATTGTCCTCAATCACCATCTTGAGAATTATCTGTGAAGCCTTTTTTCTATCTAAAAATATATAATTGTCCTAAACATACAATATGTAACGTTGTTAATTGAAGCTGCAGCCGAACAACCGAAAACCTTCTGTTCGGAATTTATACATATATATATATATATATATATATATATATATATATATATATATATATATATATATATATATATATATATATATATATATATATATATATATATGTTTTCAGTAGCAAGTGCTACTTTCTGAATGATTATGCCTCCAAAGTATAGAAAATCACAACCATTTGGACCAGAGTTTGATTCCAGGGCGAGGCTTTTGGATCTCGATTTCATTCAACTGATGTCTCTATTTGCCTGGTAGTAAACAGGGACCCAGGAGCTGGTCAACTGTTATAGGGTTGGATCCTGGGGCAGGCCAGTTGTTGGCTTGGCGTAACTCAGTAAGCCTAACAGCATTCCTGACCCCAACAATCAGCCTAACAGAACTAGGCTTTTCGATTTTTCAGGCATTTCTCGAGAAATGCGTGTACTTCTGTTGTTCTACTGCTCCATTTTATCAAAATAAGTGGTTCGTTTGCCGCCACTGTCGCACACACCAGGGTTCAACGAGACTCCCTTACATCAGAAGCTTGAGACTGGCGGGTCAGAGAGAGCGGCGCGGCCATGTCCGTCCGGGTTTTCACTTCTTACTCTCAGCTGCCTTGGACTCAAACCCCACCTTCCTCAAGATACATAACTTTCCCGTTGACGTAACATTATGCAAACGTTCAACTTAAGAGAAGGTTGACGTAGTATTACGATGTACAACAATACTGCGAGTGACGAATGGAGACAAACTTTCCATGAAGATGATGAGTATTATTATTATTATTATTCCATGGCACTTCCCCAATTGTTTACTAAACCGCACCGTCTCCGGCCTCTCAGCGAGCCCCATCGCACTATGGTGAATCAATCCTCAATCTAATATTAACACTCATGGCGCCCAAAGTTGTACTCTGTTGCTGACTTGATGACAAGTGTGTGCTCTCTTCCCAGCCCCGACAGAAACTCCCTTAGATCTTTGGACGCTTCTCACTTCCTAGGGATGCCCTCAATTGCTAGGGATTCCCTCAGTTCCTAGGGTCCCACAGAGCCCCTACGATCTGAAGCAGCCACTAAGGCTTCCCTCAGCCCCCTAGGAACTCCATCAGCCTCGTGGACCTCTCAATCACTAGGGCCTTCTTCAACCCTACGAACTCCTTATAAGTCCCTAGGCTCTTTCTCTCAGTGCTTAGGGACTCTCTTAGCCCTTAGAGTCCCCCTCAGCCCATCTCCCTTAGCCCCTGGGACCTGCACAGCCTCTAGGGTCTCCCATTGCCCCTAGAATCTCACAACCCTTAGGGCCTCTCTCAGCCCCTAGGGACTCGTACAGCCCTAATGACCTCTCAGCCCCTAGGGCCACAAACAGCCCCCTAGGGGCTCTCTCAGCCCCCAAAGGTCACTTCTTAGCTGTCAGGGGGAACGTAGTAAAATATGAACAATTGATTTAGGTTATTGATGACTATTGACAACTGCCCTTAAAAAAATTATGCTCTTTATGCATTCGTTTACAACCCATGGCATAGCTAGGTTCGGGTGTGGCAGGCAGCACAGCGGGGGAGAGGGCAGGACAGAACAGCAGGGAGAGGGCAGGACAACACAGCGAGGGAGGGAGGGAGGAGTGAGGCACGCGCGTGCAGGCTGCGTCAGGCGAGGCGGCCAGCAGGCAGCAGTGACCGCCTCAGTCACTGTCATGACCTGGTCGGCGCCGGACGGCAGCGCGCACGTCTCCCTGGGGCGGCCTGCGCATGCGCACCCCGCGCCAGGGCCGTCTCACCACCCATGCTAACATCAACACCGTCGATGGCGTCTATACCTGACTCCCAGTAAACATTCTCAGAGAATCCAATATCACAAAAAAACTAATAATATTCCCTAACAATGAAGCATACTTTAGTGCAGGTGAACACAATTAGTTGACCAGGGTGTCAAGTGCAACAACTAACCATGTTTGGGAGACCCGTGATTGACGGTAGACAAGATCAACCTTTACCTAATCTGAGTGTGATGAACAAACTCCAGCGTCGCCCGCCGCGTCCTGACGCCGTCACCAACACCAGCTTCAGCAGCAGGAGCAGCAGAGCGACCCGCGGCCAGCAGACGGGGCTATGGACGGGATGCTTCAACATGGTCGTGTCCCCCGCCGTCGACTCCTACTGGGCCGACTGCCTCCGCTACACCTGCTCCATACAACGGAGGTCCGAGTTTAGGACCTCAGAAACCAACGGCAAAAGGTAGATTTATTTGTGTATTAGGCTTTCCTCCAACGGCAAAAGGTAGATTTATTTGTGTATTAGGCTTTCCTCCAACGGCAAAAGGTAGATTTATTTGTGTATTAGGCTTTCCTCCAACGGCAAAATGTAGATTTATTTATGCATTAGGCTTTCCTCCAACGGCAAAAGGTAGATTTATTTATGTATTAGGCTTTCCTCCAACGGCAAAAGGTAAATTTATTTATGTATTAGGCTTTCCTCCAAAGCCTTTTTCTATACGAAGGCTGTTTATAACAACAACAGTTTTTTGGGAAGTTTTCATGCTTGTAAACTGTTTAATGAACGTAACCAAAGCCGTCAAAGATCGGGGAAAGATGTACACGTTCGTAAGTATTTGCGTAACTGCTTCGTGAATTCCCCTGAACTGTATTCCGTGTTTGACAGCTTCGGTTTCCAGACATGTCAAGTATCTGGCTTGGCAGGTTGACTATACTGTCTTCTGTGGTTATTGGCTGTACAGGTTTGTCGCTGTACGGTGGCTTGACCTGTTGACAGTGAACTCACACTGTGGGTGAACTGGGTGTGAACTCACACCCAGACAAGTTAGATGACTGTGGTGAGGGTCAAATCCCACGCACTGTGGCAAGTTTCGGACATTGCAAGGTGAAGCGAGTCTGTGTGAAACACCTGTCCTGGCGTATCAGGGCAGGTGTTTGTGCCCTGATACAAACACGTACTTGATATTATATCACGTACTTGAGCCGTGATATAATCAGCCCATCTTCCTGAAATGATAGTACTGATTTATAACTATTTGGTCGAAAGTAGCAGTATGTAGTGATTGACCATTAGTAAACAACTTTACAATTAATTTTATGGTCTGGAAAATATGTAACTACTTTAATATTCCTTAAGAAACAAACTTAAATATTCCTAGGACTGGTATAACATACACATGTACTATACTAGGGTATGTATAGCGTGGCTAGGATAGCGTGTATTGAGCCTAGGATTGCTAGAAGAGGTTAAGTTAGCTCTTTTTATTTTATGTTGCTGGTAATCAACTTTCAAGTTGGTCCAAATTCCATCATTCAAAAGTCAACTTTATGGCGGTCTATCACGACATATTGGTACTTTTAACCACGTAGTTACTATGAGTACATTTATTTGAGAAGGATGGGCCGAATAATATATATATTATATATATATATATATATATATATATATATATATATATATATATATATATATATATATATATATATATATATATATATATATATATATATATATATATATATATATATATATATATATATATATTATATATATAATATATATATATATATATATATATATATATATATATATATATATATATATATATATATATATATATATATATATATATTCAAACTGCAAGTTTTTCTTTGAATTCTCTTTATTCCCTTCTCCGAGGCTATGTGACCCTAGTTACTTGTCAAAATAACAAAATATTAACTCAAATCCATTAAACAAACATGTATATAAAGTGTATATGCGATATACATACACTAAGAGTTAATTTAATCCTAGAATATGTTCAGGACTAAAGTATACTTGCTGGATGGTCAACAAGGTTTTATAGCCGCCCTAATAACCCTTCCGCAGTTTGATAGGCCTTAATAACCCAACAACGGACCAAACCCTAAACAAGAAAGAAATATATCTTTCTTTGTGTTGTTCTGGTAAGTGCGATCGACTTATCGTTCGACATTCCACCCAGAACGGTTCCTGAGGGACGCGTGCACCCTCTCCCGTGGCTGTGAGGGCACTGAGGCAATCTCAGTGAATACTGTTGATATGATCCCTCAGTTGAATCTGAGGTTTAGGCTTTAGTTTAGTCATTTATTATGCACCTCATACCCGTTCCGTGGGCGGTGGTTGACTCAGAACACGTCCCGTGGGCGGTGGTGGACCCCATACCCATCCCGTGGGCGGTGGTGGACCCCATACCCATCCCGTGGGCGGTGGTGGACCCTATACCCGTCCCGTGGGCGGTGGACACAGAACACTGATCTACAGACAAGCAACACACTAGTGAGTGTAGTCAATACGACTCTTCATCGACCTTTCTCAAGAAGGTCACCTAAAGGTCAACATAAATTATGTAAACACACATAAACTCAATATATAAAAAAAAGACTATAAAAATCCTGAAACCCTTGACAATAACTATGGATTGAAGCAGAGATGTGAGCACGAGGTGTGTGTAGGTGTGGCAGGCGGCGCCACACCCTTACTAGCAGCTCCACACCCCTTGCTAGCAGCGCCACACCCTTGCTAGCAGCGCCACACCCTTGCTAGCAGCGCCACACCCTTGCTAGCAGCGCCACACCCTTGCTAGCAGCGCCACACCCTTGCTAGCAGCGCCACACCCCATGCTAGCGTTGCCATCATCTCTTGTCGTGGCAATGGCAAGATGCAACCTCACTCAAAAGTATATATATAGATTATGTGTGGTGCTTCCTGGTCGTGTCGGAGCTTGCTGTCGTTCTCTACGCTGGTGTTGTCGCTGTGTAGGTGTACTGCCTCCCTGGGGTGTGAATAATGTAGGGGTTATTGGCGTGGATGTGGGGTGTGGTGGGGTTTGGGGGGGGGAGGGTTTGGTGGGGTGATTGTGGTGTAGGGGGGGGGCGGCCTGTGTCTACATCCAGCAAATATTTGTTTGGCGCAGTGGACGGGTTAGTGGTGACCTGCTTGACGACCTCCCCCCTCTTCCTGTGTGGGGCCCGGTCACCTCCTCTCCTGTGGTGACCAGCTCCTCGCTTCCCCCCACTCCCTGTGGAGCTATCACGAGACTGTGGACTTGCTGTGGTATACTCGGTGTAAACCCGACCTCTATATTGTGCTCTGCAGGGCTTCTACCTTATTCATTTCGAACATACAATCCAGCAAGGCCTCCAGGTGGGGTGGGTCAAGGCCCGGCCCCTAGGGAAAGGTCTCCCACAATACAAGTCTCCTACACTGGACACAAACAATAACAATAGTAGAGGCTGAAGGATCCAAGTAAATAAAGTAGAATTTCTGGTTGCAATTCTTTTACCATGTCGTAGCTCAGTCGATTAATGCAGCGCATGGGATGCTCTTGGACGTAGGTTCGAATCCTCGTCACGGCCATTGTGGATTTGTTAATAACTATAGTATGTACACTTTATGGTGCATTAATATCAGCATCCTTTCCCGGGACAACCCCCCCCCCCCTGGCACTGTTATTGTAGTCAATATTGTGTTATTATAACACAATAGCAGAGTTGCATACAGTAAGAATAGTTATTAAAGTAGATCGGTGGCCAATACGTAAACAGAGTACATATATGAGGACTTATCTGAGGCAAACTCGCACGAGAGGACAAAACATGACCACTGCCATTCTAATCCAGTTACCAACTGAATCTGTTTTTCTCACTGTCCCTCTGAGTAGCCCAAATGATCATACACTAACAGTCTGCTTAACTCATTTGACCACCTTCAATTTCTTACGTTGTTACATTATATATAATGTACCCTTCTGGCTGCTTATTAATTCACTTACATATTATCTTTTCTTAACGCTAGCCAGGAGCATACATGGCGCTAATTACTTATACGTCTGGCAGAAATGCAGGTTCAACTGCGTCCAGACTCGGTGTATTTACTTTATCTGTTTGCAACATTATTATTTTTAATTATCTAAGACCACCCTGGTCATCACAGGAGCCCCTCCTGTGGTGACCTCCAAACCCACTCCTAGGAGCACATTTACTGCTGGATGAACAGGGGCGAAGAGATAAGGATCAGTGCCCAGCCACAATCTCTCTTCCAGGGCTCGAACCCAGATGAATTCATTCGCGAGGCGCAGAGGGAGTGTGCTACCACTCCACCGCCAGGGATATAATGATTAGTTTCAACGTACACTTTTGTTTTTATTAATATTTCTGTATCTAAAGACAGAAAAATATGTCTCTCTAGTCATTTCTGGAAGCTGCTTCTACCTCGTTGAAGTCACTGAATATCCTGGTGGGGAGTAGAGGCATTGAAGTCACTGAATATCCTGGTGGGGAGTAGAGGCATTGAAGTCACTGAATATCCTGGTGGGGAGTAGAGGCATTGAAGTCACTGAATATCCTGGTGGGGAGTAGAGGCATTGAAGTCACTGAATATCCTGGTGTGGAGTAGAGGCATTGAGGCCTCTGTATCCCCCCTCCTGGTGGGGAGACAAGGTAATTGTGTTCTGTAGTGGGAGTGTAAAATACAAAGAGGACATACTGTATTTTCCCGGTGGGGTGTAGGAAGCAGATGATTAATTGTATTCTCCAGTGGTGTGTAGAAAGCAGGAGTGATATTGTATTTCCTGGGGGGGGGTCTACATCACTGTGTAAGACTAGTGGCGTGAAGAGCATTAATGTCACTGAACACATTACCCAAGACTAACTTTCTAGCATTGACAACGCTCTCTTAAAATTAGACACTATTGAGCGTCTGATTTGTTATAATATCCTTTGGAGCAGGGCGGTGGAATCGAACCTGCACTCTAGGTCACCCCACACGCACACACATTACCCATTAGGCCAGGATATGTGTTTAAAAAGGCAGCACAATCTGATGTCCATTCAAACTTATGAGGAATATGAAGGCAGCGAGCTCAACAAAGCCTATTCCATGTTTTGACATTACCTGCCCACATAAAAAGATATATGAGGCTATTTATGATTTTATTTTGCATAGAACACAAATTTGATCGCTTCGAAGACATACATGTGTAAATTAATTTTTTTACCCATAATCTACACTTTTATTTTTTAGAATTTACCCCGAGGGGCGAGTTTATTGGGCAGCGCCAATCATCCTGTGAGTGGGCACACCTCCATAGCAGCATGTACAATACTCCCCAATAGGAAGAAAAATGCAGACGATGAGTCACAATAACGTGGCTGAAGTATGTTGACCAGACCACACACTAGAAAATGAAGGGACGACGACGTTTCGGTCCGTCCTGGACC